TTTGGTCCTTTGCGGTTGCAATTTTACCTGTGTTGTGCTCTCGCTCAGATTTACCCTGGGATATACTTCGCGCACGGATTTACCAGGATTGCTGAGTATCTCCTCAAGCTAAGGGACGTGGTTGTGTGTAGGAGACGACTGGACTCTTTTGGACTTTAGCGTGACATGCTGCATTATTATCTGCAGGGCGCACTCTTTCATGAAGTCCCATAACATTTTTGTGTATTTCCCAGTGTTTGAGAGCATTAGGACCAAGTGATTTAGAGGAACACTGCTTGAGGATCCGTATCTCCAGTGTATTCAATTTTACAACTAAGTTATTACTTAGTTTCTTTTCATTCTTGCCTGAGGATCCGTACCTCCGGGAATAAAGATCTTTTTCAGTACCTTTACGTACTTTATCGTTGATTGTTGTTTCGCTTAATGCGTGTTTGTTGATTTCTGCTTGATCTTGTGGGTGATCAAGCAGCCCTTTGTGATTGTCCTTCCAGTGTGACTCTCCCTTTTTATGACTTAAGTTAATACTTCGTTTTATTTCGTTCGTACTTGAGGATTCATATCTCCTGTACATTTATTTTACAACCAAGTTAATTCACGTTTCTTTCGTCCCTGCTTGAGGATTCGTACCTCCGGGGATAAAGATCTTTATCAAGATCTTTTCCCGTAATTGTTTGATATAGGTTTCTGTTGATCTCTGCCTGACCTTGTGGGTGATCAGGCAGACTTTGGTGATCCGTATCTCCTGATAAAGAGCCCTTATCACATGATACGTGATTTTTGTTGTTATTGTCGTTGGTTGTTTCGGCTGACTCCTGTCTGATCTTGTGCCTATTCAGGCAGTCTTCTTGACCAGTCCCTTCATTGACTTTGCCAGTTGTTTGTGTCTCACCTCGGTTTTGGGCCGTTTTTTCTCGTTTTTATTGACGTTTATTGTTTTACTTTAGTTTCCCCTTATTATTCTGTGTTTTCTCTTAACATTTTTATTCATGATTTAACGACGAGACATTTTTATGATCCTTTCATCGTTTAGCTTTTATTCATTTTAGTTTTTTAACATTCAATAAAGTTTTAAGGTCTCGTTTTTACTTAGTTTTCATTTTAAGTTGTAGGGGAGCATTTTTTACGTACAGTGTTTATTTGTTCTTTTTAGTTATCGCTTTTCTTTTTCTTATGATTTCAATTTTATACATTTAGTTATATTTTTGTTCGTTTTTATACAGCTTATTTATTACGAGAATATATTTTGTATAAATGTTTGGCCTCTGACGTCACCGGGGCAGTGGAAAAAGAAACAATAAACAGTACGAGTCGAGACGTCAACGAGTGTGTTTGACTATCCTCCGAAGCTTTGAACCACCGGCAGTGTCGCCATATTTGTTGAACCGAACACAGAGACGATCACGGAAGATAATAAGTTAAGTACTGAGATCATGATATTCTTTACATAGGAGCTGGACGTGATCTCATGAACATTTTTATTGAATAATTAGAACATCCTTTTATTTATTTGTTTACTTTTAAATGAATTTGGCTGGTCTGTTTCTCTTTGTTTTATTTGTAACTTCTAACTTTTCAAAGTAGGAAGTCTGAGTGATCTTTTAGTTTTAGTTTTCCTGTTTCGGTGTCACCACACTCGGGTTTTATACTGTCGTATTTTTTTTCTTTTAGGTTTAAGGGGTTTTAAGCCTTCAGCTCTGACGCCAGACTTGCTGGTTTTGTCTCTGTTTTATGGTAAGGCCTTCAGCCAGGCTCTCCACTCTGGAAGTCTTTCTTTTAGTTTTTGCATACGACAGTCAGTAATTTTAGGTGCCTTTAGCACATTCTTTTACTTTTGTATTTTTCTTAGATTACTTTTTAGTATGTATTTTACCATATGGTTAGGCTGAACGTCAGAAAGTGGTATTCACACGTTAACACCCCTATTCATGATTCAGTCTCCCCCCACGCTACCACATAAGGGGATTGAATTGACAGGGGTTAACCAGGTCTATTTGCGCCTGTATCCCCCGCCAGCATCAAGGGAGGGCAGAATTCTAAGAGTGCCTTGAAGAACTGGGACGGGACCCCTGGGTTAGACGGATCACACTACACATCCAATATTCAACACACAAATTCTGTACTTTCTTTCCACCCTTCTCTGATACAACACCCACACCCACTTACACGGCATACAAGGTTCCCGAACCTACTAATCGGGTGGTGGCAGCGTGCCGTAGGCCTGGAACCTTACATCTGTTCACTGCAGACCAATCTTTCCTTTAAGCAAAAACCATATTCTCGGTTGAGCCCGGACCACTTCAAATCTATTGGGTCTACGCCTCGCTACAATTGTCGTTATTATTTGAAAAATTATCAATATTGTTATCATCATTATAAAAATAGTTGTAATGATGAAAATGACAGTATAATTAGCATAAGTCCATTTATGATGAAATAAAGGCTAAAACTAATAAAATCCCAATAGTCGAAAAAACTGCAAAATCTAGCGTATTACAGCCTTTCGAGAGAAAGGTCGAAAAAAACTTTTCACTTTAAAATGATAATTATGATTTTAACATGAATATAGGTAATTATGATGATTTTCATGAGAATGCCTTTATTATTAAATATAATGTTAATAATTATGATGATAATGACAATAATAATGATGATAATAATAATAAAAAGAGAATTATAATAATTTTAATAATTATTGCAATTATACCAATAATGAACTCAATTCTAATAATTTTCATACCAATAATGATAATAGATAAATCATATTATCATTATTATTGATATGATAATGAGAATTAGTCATTATTATTTCTAAAATTATTATTATTGTTATTATCATTATAAAAATAATTATAATGATGAAAATGAGAGTAATAATTAGCATAATAATCATTATAACTGCAATAATGATAATGATAAAATGATAATCATGACGATAATGACTATAAGGATGATAATCATAAGAATAATGACAATAATGATGATAATGATAATAATAGTCATAGAGTCGCTTTATAATAAAATAAAGGCTAAAACAAATAAAATCCCATATGTCGGAAAACCGGGAAAATCTAGCGTGTTACAGCATTTTGAGAGAAAGGTCGGAAAAAAACATTTTTCGCTTTAAATGATAATTATGATGAATTTAACATTAATTCAGGTAATTATGATGATTTTCATGATAATGTCTTTATTATAAACATAATGATGATAATTATGATGATAATGACAATAATGATGATGAAAATAAAATAATAATTATAATGATAATTTTCATAGTTACTGCAATAATAGCAATAATGAACTCTATTCTAATAATTTTCATTCTAATAATGACAATATAATTAATAGTATCATTATTATTGTTATTATAATGATTATTATTGTCATTATTTCTAAAATTACCATTATTATTATTATCATTATAATATAGTTTATAATGATGAAAATGAGCGTAGTTATAATAATAATCATGATAACTGCAATATGCTAATGATAATAAAGATAATCATGACGATAATGACTATAATGATGATAATCATACGAATAATGACAATAATGATAATAAGATGATAATAATAATCATAGAGTCCATTTGTAATTAAATAAAGGCGAAAACTAATATAATCCCTTAAGTCGAAAAAACGGCAAAATCTTGCGTATTACAACCTTTTGAGAGAAAGGTCGGAAAAAAAAACTTTCTCGCTTTTAAATGATAATTATGATGATTTTAACATTTATTCAGATAAATATAATTATTTTAATGATAATTCCTTTATTATTAACAATAAAGATAATTACGATGATAATGACAATAGTAATGATAAAAAAAAATGATAATTAACAATAATTTTGATAATTACTGCAATAATAGAAATAATGAACTTTGTAACTGCAATAATGATAATAATAATAAAGATAATCATGACGATAATGACTTTAATTATGATAATTATAAGAATAGTGACAATAATGATAATAATAACAATAGAGTCCATTTATAATGAAATAAAGGTTAAAACTAATAAAATCCCATAAGTCGAAAAACGGCAAAATCAAACGTATTACAGCCTTTTGACAGAAAGGTCGAAAAAAAAGCTTTTTCTTTTTTAAATGAGAATTATGATGATTTTAACATTAATTCAGGTAATTATGATGATCTTCATGATAATGCCTTTATTAATAATAATAATGATGATAATTATGAAGATAATAACAATAACAATAATAATACCTATAAAAAATGATACTTATAATGAAAATTTTGATAAATACTGATATAATAGCAATAATGAACTCTATTCTAATAATTTTCATCCTAATAATGTCAATAGAAATAATAATATCATTATTATTGTTATAATAATGATTATTATTGTCATTATTATTTCTAAAATTATCATTATTGTTATTATCATTATAAAATAAGTTATAATGATGAAAATGCGAGTAATAATTAGCTTAATAATCATTATAACTGCAATAATGATAATGATAATAATGATAATCATGACGATAATGACTATAAGGATGATAATCATAAGAAAATGACAAAAGGATGATAATGGTGATAATAATATTCATAGAGTCCATTTATAATGAAATAAAGGCGAAAACTAATAAAATCCCACAGTCGAAAAAACGGCAAAATCTGCCTTTTGATAGAAAGGTCGAAAAAAAACTTTTTTCGAATTTAAATGATAATTATGATGATTTTAACATCAATTGAGGTAATTACGATGATTTTCATTATAATTCCTTAATTATTAACAATAATGATGATAATTATGATGATAATGACAATAATTTATGATAATAAAAATAAAATTAGAATTATAATATAATTTCTATAATTACGCAATAAGCAATAATGAACTC